CAAAGACAAAAATGGCAATACGCCACTTTGGCTGTCGACTTACTCGTCATGCGACGAGATAACCGAAAGGCTGTTGGCCGAGAAAGACATCAGCGTCAATTTTGTTGGAGGCCGCCGGAGATTCGAGACGCTGTCTACATCTCTCCACCACGCCGCGGCCAGGTTGGATACCGTGCTCCTACGACGGCTGCTTGCGGTGCCAGGGATCCGTCTGAATCTCTGTGTTGCAGGCCACTCTCCAATCTCCGTGGCCGCATATCACGGACGCGTGAACACAGTTGCTTGTCTACTGAGTATAGAGAGCGTGGAGATCAAGGGAAGGGACGTGATCGATCCGCCCCTTTGTCGAGCGGTTGCACATGGCCATCTCGATGTTGTAGGACTCTTAGTGCAGCAAGGCGCACGTCTGAACATCAATGAAAGCATGATCGCAACTCACGACACTGCTCTCTGCATTGCCGCCCGTGGCGGTGACTTGGAGATGGTCCAGGCACTACTACGCCATGATCGAATTGATGTGAACCTCGGAAATCGATGGTCTGAGGATCCATTGATGTTGGCGGTCAAGGGCGGGCATTCCTCGATTGTTGATGCACTTGTGGTCAATCCCAGACTGAAATACTTCAGTTTGACAAAATCCCTGGATCTAACAAGGAACAATTGCATCCAGAAGGCCATTCGAAGCAGAATGGAAGACGACAACACTCGTCAAGGATTGTTGAAGCGGTCTCCGAGGAGAAGGTTTGGTGGTCTGTAAGAGCTAGCGACATCTACTTCAGGTAGCTCTCATGGTGCAATGCGAATGCGTGATGGCCGAGTCAATCGACACTTTCTCCGCTAGCTACACTGTCCACATTGTCACTGGATCCGTAGTTTTGTGTATAATATACTGGGTTAATAAAAGTGACACTAGAACATGCGGGATTATTCGCAGACACATTCCACGAAGGCTATTCTATGTCCTTCTCAATGTAAACCCTCGAAAAGATATAAGCTGCTTTCCATGCGGTAATTCTCTTCCAATTTCAACGTCGTTGTATTGTTTCCAAGCTGAAAAAGTAAGACATAGGACAATCAAGAAAATACAATCCTTTAACCTTCTCTTGCCATGTCTGGCAGCCCTGCCAGATTGAGTCTGGAAGGATGATTCCAGTCATCGAGTACGCGAGACAGTCGACCCCGAGATGATTCCAGTGCCTGCTCAAAAAAGTGCAGCCTAGACAGCTGCTTGTCGTGGCGCAGCTGAAGTCCGTCCCTCTCTTTAGTCAGGTGTCTGCTGGCCTCCTTCAAGATATGATTGCTCTGCTCTAGCTTCTGGCCATCAATGTGTTTGGACACGCATGACTCCCATAGGCGTCGATAGCGTCCGACAAGTCGAGCCGCGGGAAAGGCGAACTTGGGATCGTCGCGTTCTAGGTCTGCTAGCACCTTCAGAATAGGTTGAAAGTGCTCAGTCGCCAGGATATGTCTTGTTTCTCCTTCCTGTTGCCAAAGAGAGAGCTGCGATGGTCAGCAAGAGCATTCGAAGTTAAGCCGTTCCACTTACCATTGGTGCATGATCGGAAGCTTCCTGTGAATAGACTTTTTCACTAACGATTGGCAATTCAGTGGGCTGCTGTTCTCCTTCTTTTTCCTGGTCCGGCGTGCTGTTCGGGGCATCCATTTTGACCGTAGGGGGAAGTCGAGTGTCTGTGCAATAGCATGTCCATCAATTCTTGGAGGCTTTTATAGACTAGCAGACATAGTCGGCTAGGTACTCAGTCGCATTTTCACCATGAAAGTCAATCAGCGTAGTCAGTTTTCAATCTCAGCACTCTGTTAGCAGTCCGTTTAATGATGGTGCTGGTGATCAGTCTCGTGGTGTTGATGGTTGGTGAATGTGCCTCATAT